GCACAATCGTGAAACTAGTAGGCCGTGCAGAATGATGGTTCATGAGAACCTCATTATTTTGCTCTGCAATCAATAGTACTATTATCAACTCAGAGTACTTGGAGTACTTTGAGTTCATGCACTACCGGTGCAGTGCTATGTTGCCGGGATGGAGGTTAGAAAGAGTTTTCTTGACCATATCAGCGTCAGTGATCTTCTGGCCACATAGACACAGTCTTAACACAATCCTTTGTAAAGCAGAGTTGTATGCCGCCACAGACGTACAGTCTTGGAAGCGTAAGGTGATCCAGTCCCGTTGTGCTCCAGAGAGCACAATTGATTTCTACTGGTTGAAACGGTCCTTCAGGGACTGCCATAAAACTAGTGGATCATCCTCATTCATATACTCAGACTTCTGGTCTAGGTGTAAATGGTGTTGCAGTAAGTGCAACGCCTTTGCTTTATCAGGTTCTGTGTGCTCTTCCTTGCCAGCTTCAGGCTAAGCAATAACGTGATCGAGGCACATGCTGTCGAGTTTGATCTCGACGTCGATGGCCCATGTAAGGTAGTTGCTGCCGTCCACGGCAAGCTCATCAAACTCCTTCGCAATGTCCGACATGTCTGCACAATTAATGTACAGGATCAATGAATGTCGGTTATACGTAATCTTCAGGATTACGACTATGTGTAATCTTCAGGATCACACAATCATGTATAGTCTTCAGGACTATGTTTTCCCCAAAATATCTCAAGCATATAATTTTCAGGATCATACGCAACTCATATATTAAGAAATATAAACTTGCAATAAAATAAATCTGCAGGATTTAAATAAGTAAATGCAAGAAAGTAAATTGCAGTAAATAAATAAAAGTAATACGCAATAATATAAATGCGACTTCTGGTCGCCGTTTATTTATTCGGACTTCAGGCCGTATGAGACAGTGGACTTCAGGTCACTATTAGTTAATGACGGAAAGTAGATGCCATGGATTTGTTCGCTGCTATCACTGCCCATGGTTTAGTTCCGAATGTGGTGACCTATCGGTTAATGATGGAAAATCTCATACAAGAGGGTCTGCTTGATGAGTTTGACAATCTGTTTTTATCAATGGAAAAGAGTGGATGCACTCCAAACTCATACATGCTAAATGGTATAGTTAGGAGCCTATTGGGTGGAGGTGAGATAATGAGGGCTGGAGCTTACCTCTCCAAAATTGATGAGATGAACTTCTCACTTGAGGCTTCCACTACTTCCTTGCTAATATCACTTTTCTCGAGGGAGGAATATAAGAACCATGCAAAGTCCCTACCTGAAAAGTACCATTTTTTATGAGGTCAACTAATGAGGATTATGTCAAACAAAATAAATCCTCAGCTGAGTGGTAATGTCTACCTCATTCTATAATTTGCTGGCCCGTTGTGTTGTAACATTTGTTTGATAAAATTCTCTAGGGAAGTATTGTGCTGTTAGTGCATGTCAGCATCATGTTATCTCCTATAAAGTTATCCTTATATCTACTGTTAACAGTGCATGCTGTTCCTGTTTGTAGTTCCATGGATCAGCTAGATCTAATACTCCCTCTTTTTCAAATTGTAAGTCATTTTGGCTTTTCTAGATTCATAAGTTTGATTATGTATCTAGACACAAGTGTATATCTAGATGCATAGCAAAGGCTATGCACCTAGAAAAGCCAAAACGACTTACAATTTGGAACAGAGGGAGTATATACTAATGTTTTCTGATGCTTTTGTGGTCCATTTCCCATGGCTTGTTTTCTTTGTTAGCTACAATCTCCTGTTCCTATGCCTTCACTTTTTATTAGAGGAGCCCATGCTGAACTAAACTACCTCAAATTCTGCTTAACTTTTGTATGTGTTTGACGATCCTCCTTTGGCTTGCGGTTTCCTGAAATCCATGTCATTGATTCCTTGCAGGTCTATGTCTATAAAGAGAGGTCAAGCATTGGAAGTCCCATCATGACCTTCATTTGTGGTGTCAACACTTCTAACCTTCCTGGTTATCTGAACTGGAGCAGTTTGTTTGATGAATTGCATCTCGAGGCTGGAGCGGGGGGTTCTAGCAAAGGCCTGAGTGTTTAACATTATTTTTTGTGCATGACCTTCAAATAATAGCATACAAAGCCATCTTCCAACTGTCAGATCATTGCTTAGTAGAACTCCCGGTTCTCTTCTTCATTTTCAAGCAGCTGCTGTCACTATTGTAATAACATCAACAAGAGAATGAAATCTAGAGGCCCAGTAGTACCATTAGTAGTAATATCATTACTAGTGTCACCTAAGATATGATATGTATATATATAGTACTTAGTCGAAAGTACTCTGCTTTCTCTAAGAAGGCTTCCTGAAACTTTAGTTGAAAGTACCCTGTATGAAGTATGAACCATGACTCCAACTCTCCATGATTGAAAAACACAACATTGTATATTTTTGAAACAACCATATTTGATGCTAACCATGTCGAGTACAAGGGATTGTGAGTTTTACAGATGTTTAAGTTTCTTAATATTTTTTTTTCGAAACTCTTACAAGTTCATTTGATCCAACCTGCAGCTAAGACAGCATCAGATAAATGGTTGAGTTGTACACAGATTTCCTTCATGCAAAGATAGCATTAACTCTACAGTCTACACAGTTTTCCAAAACTATCTTACTAATTCTTACGTTTCAACTACTTAACTAGATTGCTCATTAGTGACAGAAGTCAGTAAGCCATTGCCAGAAGATTATTCCCTCTACTGATTTATAGGTCATTTTGCCTCCCATCCATGGTTAGGACTCGGCTAGTTTCTGATTTGCACTATGGTCTGTCTTGCTTCCTGTCCATGTTGATCGGTCCTGAAATTTTCCCACTGTCTCTGCTTGACTTGGCCAGCTACAGACAAGCCCTGCAACCACGGGTTGTGATTATTGATGATACCCAATTCTGTTGGTAAGCAAGAGTACTTCCTTTCTCACCGCTCAGAATGATATTTTTCTACTTCTCACCCTTCATGCGGATTGAACATCGATTATTTTTTACAGTTTGTTGGGCAAATGAGCTGGTGATATCCACAACAGTAGAAAAGATAAGGAAAAAAAATCTTAAAACTGAATTATCTGCCCTTGCCACTGAGCAATACTTTTTGGATCAATAATGAATTGATGATTACTTGGGCTAAACAATGAGAGCAGAGTACTGATTATTTTTTTCTATCTGTTGCTTGATAAGTTTTACCTTTTCTTGTGCCTTTTGTGTCCCTGACTCCCTGTCAACTTATGTGTCTCCTCTTATGAAAAGTGATGGCCAGCAAGAACAGTAAAACTCTCAGGAACAACCGTGGGAGCATCAGCAAGAAAAGCGGTAGTGCAGGGGCACCATGGAGCAAACCGTAGCTGCTCAGCTTGGGCTTCATGTCTCCCTGCCTGAACCCTCCCTCTGCTCACCCTGCTTTCTTCATATTTCTCTGAAACAAGTGGTGGATCGATGCTAAGCACAGTCAAGGTTTCGGAATTTGAATTAAGCACACTATCTCAACAAGTCCGTGTAAGTAAATTTGCCTTCACTGATAAACAGGTGAGTGAAAACAGAATTATTAGGGCATAGTAGAGGTTCATTACTGAAATCACCCTAATCTTCAAAACATCAGAAGCAGTAACTGTCCAAACGCTGTCAGCTACTACTCTGTTCTGAAATACAGGAAACAGTGAACTCCTTTGCAGAAAAGTTTATGCAACCTATACAACAGGAATATGATGGGACTGCATAATATAGCAATCTTAACTAGTCATGTTTGTGTGTTTTGTATGTCTTGATAGCACACTAGTACAGTCCCATATAGCCACAATTTGTTTCTTTTTCAAGTAATCATGGATTTCAAGTAAACAAGAGAAGGAATCATAGATGTGGATGGAAGAAACTTTTTTTTGGATCTTGCATTCAGTTCAGACTCTGCACTGCACTGCTGGAGTAGCGCTATGACTATGACAACTAACCACCATTATATTCATGTGACTTGCAAATTGCACTTACCATTTTCAAGACTGTTAGTTAGTATTACTTACAAATTATATTGCCAGGAGACCTTTTGTTTTTTTTTCCAAGACACTTGCATAAGTATCCATACCCCTTAGCCGTATACATATATTTGTGGCGGTCTAGATTATTTGAGTTATACATCGCATTGCTGGTCCACCTGCACAGCACTTGCTGACTTGCATTGCTCTCATTAGAATTGCCTGTATCTCAATTTCTTCCTTCTGTTTTCAGATTTTCTGTGAGGGTCTAAAGCACCGAGTGTTTGAGGTCTCCTTGGCTGATCCAGATTGATGAGGATCAGATAGGTAACAGTTCTAGAGAGTACAGACATCTCGTGTTTATGGGAATGCTGAGAACAAAATTGTTCATGGTTTTTCTCTTTAAGTAATTGCTCCCAACTTTAGATACGGAGAATAGACTTGGGGGAGGCCGAAGCACGGCACCCTTTTAATCTTATGGTTCCTAACCAACTTCAAACCAACAAAGTTTCTAAATGGTTCTAATCATTATCGAATATGTATTTTTATTTTACATTCTTTCATATGTAATTTAAGGATGTATTATGCTAAATTTTAATATAATAATTCCCCCTGTCCTTTGGAAAGAAAAGCAAGAGGCATTTTTGTTTTGAACGGAACAAAGAAACAAGAGGCCTCCAATTCCTCCATACGAATCTCTCCGTACGTGTCAACGGCAGCAAAAAGAAACAGTTACAAGCCAGTTTTCCGTCCTACGACTCCGACGCGCCTACGGCCCACTTGCGCCCGTAGGCCATCGCCCAACCCGCCGCCGCCCGCCGCCTCCCGACGTTCCCGCTCCTGCGCTCAATCGCTCACCCGGTCACAGCTCTGCACGGCGCAGCACTCGCGGCTCCGCCTAGCCCACGCGAATTGCTCTGCTTCACAGATCCGGAGGCGGACGCAGCGTCGTCCGTGCCTCTCCGCGCCGGGCCAGTATCCACTCGCGCGCACCCCCCGTCGGCATGTCCCGTCGCGTGAGCGCCCCCCGCGACCGGTGCTTGGAGCTGGAGCGCGTCATCGCAGACCGAGCAAGGTCGGGGAGCCTTGGCGTCGACGACGCGCTCAAGCTGTTCGATGAATTGCTGCCCCACGCCAGGCCTGCCTCGGTTCGTGCTTTCAACCACCTGCTTACCGTTGTCGCTCGCGCCCGATGCTCTTCAACCTCCGAGCTTGCCGTCTCTCTCTTCAAGCGGATGGCCCGTGCCAGCTCCAACAAGGTGGCTCCTGACCTGTGCACATACAGCATCCTCATTGGATGCTTCGGTTGCATGGGACACCTGGAGTATTGTTTCGCCGCCTTTGGCCTCATCCTTAAGACGGGCTGGAGGGTCAGTAACATAGTCATCAATCAACTGCTCAACGGCCTCTGTGACATGAAGAGGGTGGACGAGGCCATGGACATATTGCTCCGACGAATGCCTGAGTTTGGCTGCATGGCGAATGTAGTTTCCTACAGCACGGTTCTCAAGGGTTTATGCAATGAAAAGAGAGCTGAGGAGGCACTTGAGCTGCTGCACATGATGGCTGATGATGGACATGGAAGCTGCACACCAAATGTTGTGACATACACCACGATCATCGATGGCCTGTGCAAAGCTCAAGCTGTTGACAAGGCCGAGGGTGTCCTTCAGCAGATGATTGATAAAGGTGTCAAGCCAAACGTCCAGACATATAACTGTCTGATCCTTGGGTACCTCTCTACAGGACAATGGAAAGAGGTGGTCCGAATGCTCGAAGAAATGTCCGCACGTGGTCTTCAGCCAGATGTTACTTATGGTTTGCTGCTGGATTATCTCTGCGCAAGAATGGAAAATGCTCGATGGCGTGAAGATTTTTGATTCTATGATTAGGAAGGGCATAAAACCAAATGTAACTATCTCTGACATTCTTCTTCATGGGTATGCTGCTAAAGGAGCCCTTGCTGATTTGCCTGATCTCCTAGATCTGATGGTAGCAAATGGTATTTCACCTAATCATTACATCTTCAACATTGTGTTCTGTGCATATGCTAAAAAGGCAATGATAGATGAGGCAATGCATATACTTAGCAAAATGAGGCAGCATGGGTTGAGTCCTGATGTAGTCACTTATGGAACATTAATAGATTCACTTTGCAAGTTGGGAAGAGTTGATGATGCTGTGCTTAAATTCAATGAGATGATCAACGAAGGGGTGACTCCAAACATTGTTGTTTTTAGCTCCTTGGTTTATGGACTCTGCACCGTTGACAGATGGGAGAAGGCCGAGGAATTATTTTTTCAAATGTTGGATCAAGGAATCCGTCCCGACGTTGTGTTCTTCAACACAATAATGTCTAATTTATGCAAAGAAGGACGGGTCATGGAAGCCCAGAGTGTCATTGACTGGATGGAACGTGTGGGCGTGAGGCCTGATGTTGTCTCATATAATGCATTAATAGATGGCCACCGCTAGCTTTGGTAGAAGAAGATGAAGCGGCAAAGTTACTTGATGTTATGCCCTCAGTTGGCTTGAAACCGAACATTTTATCCTATAATACATTGCTTCATGGCTACTGTAAAGCTGGTAGGATAGATAATGCATATTGTCTTTTCCGAGAAATGTTGAGGAAGGGAGTTACGCCTGGAGCTGTGACTTACAATACTATACTGCAAGGTTTATTTCAGACAGGGAGATTTTCTGAAGCAAAGGAACTCTACCTCAATATGATTAAAAGTGAAAAACAGTGGGGCATTTACACATACAACATAATTCTAAATGGGCTTTGCAAAAATAATTGTGTTGATGAAGCATTCATAATGTTCCAGTGTCTGTGTTCTAAGGATCTTCGACCTAACATTATTACTTTCACCATTATGATTGATGCTTTATTCAAAGGCGGCAGAAAGAAAGATGCCATGGATTTGTTCGCTGCTATCCCTGCCCATGGTTTAGTTCCGAATGTGGTGACCTATCGGTTAATGATGGAAAATCTCATACAAGAGGGGCTGCTAGATGAGTTTGAGAATCTGTTTTTGGCAATGGAAAAGAGTGGATGCCTTCCAAACTCACGCATGCTAAATGCTATAGTTAGGAGGCTGTTGCGTGGAGGCGAGATAGTGAGGGCTGGGGCTTACCTCTCCAAAATTGATGAAATGAACTTCTCACTTGAGGCTTCCACTACATCCTTGCTAATATCACTTTTCTCGAGAGAGGAATATAAGAACCTTGCAAAGTCCCTACCTGAAAAGTACCATTTTCTTGAGGAGGTCAACAAGTGAGCATTATGTCAAACGGAATAAATTCTCAGCTGAGTGGTATGTCTATCTCATGCTCTATTTGTTTGATGAAATTCTTTAGGGAAATGTTGTACTGCTAGTGCGTGTCAGCATCCTATTTATCACCTGATAAAGTTATATTGTCTTCAGTCCCAGTTATCTTTACAGTGGGAATCAATTTTCAAACTATTGGGAGAACATGAGTTTCTGCCTTTTGTTGCTTAGTTTGTAAGAAATTCTTCACAGCTGGGAGTACAATCATCTGGACTTCTTAATCCTTATGGTGATTTCTATACACTATGCTTGTGTTTTTCCCCACAGTTTGCATTATCCCCCGCCACCGCTGAATATTTGTTGTTAGCAGTGCCTTTTTTCCCCACTAATAACTACTGTTTGGAGCTTTATTTTCCCAAATATCCTGCTAGCACTGTGTGCTGATTGTAGTTCCATGGAACAGGTAAATCCAATATATATCATCTTCCATGGATCAAGAGGTTAACAAGATAGTAGTGGATGTACCAAATTTGACTTGATTTCTTCTACATTGCTTGTTGCTTAGATGTTTTCATAGATATTCATCTTATATTCTCTGTTGATGTAGAACCAGTGCTCCGTCCTCCGTTCTGGTTAGCCTTGTTAATACCTGTTGACTTGGTGCATTTAGGCAGATGCATGTATTACTTTTTAGAACTTTTTCTTGTTCTTTAAGTCGAATATCATGTTTCATATGTGCCATATTTGGATGAAGTTGAATATTTAATTCAACTTTGGAGGCTGGGAAGTGGGAACTTGCAGCAATTGATACCCCTTTCCTACAAATTCATTTTCAAACTATACTTTCTTAATTTTTCTTTTTCACAGTTTGTTTGTATACTAGTGTTTTCTGATGCTTTTGTAGTTTTGTGGTCTATTTCCCATGACTTGTTTTCTTTGTTCACTGCAATGCCTTCAATTTTGTATTAGAGGGAGCCCATGCACTACTCAGATTTCGCTTAACTTTTGTATTTACTTTTGTGTTAGACCATCCTCCTTTGGCTTGCACTTTCCTGATATCCAACTGATCGATTCCTTGCAGCTCCATGTCTATAAAGAAAGTAGAGCACTGGAAATCCCATCATGTCTTTATTTGTGGCGTCGATACCTCTAACCATCAATCCATCATGGTTATCTGAACTGGAGCAGTTTGGTTTTATGATGGCATCTGGAGCAGGGGTTTTAGCAAAGACCTTAGTGTTTGACGTTATTTTTGTGCATGATCCTCAAATATAAGAATACCTAGCTATCCTCGAACTCTCAGAGAATTGCTTAATATAGAACTCTCTGTTAACTGGATTATATTCAAGCAGCTGATGTCACTATTGTAACAGCATCAACAAGAGAAAAGGTAATAAGAAAAAAAAAGCTCAAAGCTGAATTCTCTGCCCTTCCCACTGAGAAATACTTTTTGGTCCATAATGAATTGTTGATTACTTGGGCTAAACTATGAGAGCAGAGTTCTGATTATTTGTTGCTATCTCTTGCTTGATGAGTTTTACCTTTTCACGTGCCTTTTGTGCCCCTGTTCACTTATGTGTATCCTCTCATGAAGGTGGCAGCAAGAACAGTAAAACGCTGAGGAACGACCGTGGGAGCATCAGCAAGAAAAGCAGACAAGCGGTAGTGCAGGGGTGACATGGAGCAAACTGCAGCTGCTTAGCTTGGGCTTCATCTCTCGTTGCCAACAAGAGAGGTTTTTTAACCAGCTCTTTCTACTCACCCTGCTTTCTTCATATTTCTCTGAAACTAGTGTTGGATCGATGCTAGTGGAGCACTCAAAACGTTTTAGATTTTGAATCGAGCACACTATCTCAACAATTTGCACACCATTATATTCATGTGACTTGCAATTTGCACACCTTTTCTCGTGCCTTGTGTCCCTGTCCACTTATCTGTGTCCTCTCATGAAGGTATGACCAGCAAGAACAGTAGAACTGTTATGGCAAGTGGAGCCGGCCCAGGGCCTCGCACTACGGCTGGCCAGGCTATGGGACGACAGTCGTCTCCATAACCGGCGCCCAGCAGATCCCAGTCACGTGCGAGAAGTTGCAGCAGATCGAGCGGCCGATGGACATCGCGATGACGTCGGCGGGGAAGATGCTTACCCGCCAGGTGTCGGCTGCGGTGCGGCTGCAGGCTGCTATGCGCGGCCTCCTAGCACGTCGGCGGGTGCGGGAGATGCGCGATCTGCAGCTGATTCAGCCCTGCACTCCTTGGCAGCTCCTCCAAGTTGCGCTTCGCTGCGCGGAGGACCTCGATCTCGTCCGCTGCGTCGGGGATCTCGGGCATGCGGTTTCCCCCACGGGCAACGGCCATGCTATTTTCCCTGCGGGCGGCGGTTGGGGAGGCGCATCCCTCCACCTCGTTCTCCATCGAAAGCCCTCCGCTCTGCTCTGTGCGGTGCAGACCAGTAGCCGTCTGGCGGGGAGAAGGCGTGGGGTCACCAGCGAGAGCGCACCGCGTAGCGCCGTCGCATGGTCACTGTTGCGACCACTTCCAGGTGGCCATACACATGTACCCCTTTCGTCTAGATGGTGTCCATGGGATCTAGGAGGCTGTACACATGCAGGTTTGGCGTGCGGATGGTGTCCACCTTATGTTTAGGAGTCAAAATAAAGAGTCCCAGTCCATTTCAGGTTGAGAATAATAAAATAAGCCAAGATGTAAAAGACTTGTTTGTAGGTGTTAGGAGTCGAGTCAGCATTCTACGTTGGTTAGGTTGCAGCTCAAGGACGAGCTGCATGTCCAGGTGGGGTGTAGTGTTAGAGTACGTCAGGGGCCTATTGGGCCTGGGTTGACTATATAGCCCATTAGTGTTAGGGTTAAATAGAGATAAGGATCGCTTACTTAAGGGTCAAGTAAGCATTGCTTGGGAGTCAAGTAAACCTCTCTATATAAGGAGAGGAGATGTATCGATCTAATCAAACAAGAATTAAGAAGGAAATCCCTTCCCTCTTACTCGGCCGTGGGTAAGGCCTCCGGCCGGCCTCCAGCCTCGTCCTCGCAGCCCTAGCCGTAAACAGTACCCGCGGTACTGTAGCCCCCCGCCGCCGCCTCTCCCTCAGCTCTCTCCCTCTCAATCCTAGCAGCCGCGTAACAAGAACTCTCAGGAACGACCATGGGGCAGCATCAGCAAGAAAAGCAGTAGTGCAGGGACGCCATGGAGCAAACTGTGGCTCCTGAGCTTGGGCTTCATCTGTCCCTGCCGGACTCTCCCTCTGCTCACCCTGCTTCATATTTCTCTGAAACAAGTGGTGGATCAATGCTAGTGGCACACTCAAGGTTTCAGATTTTGAATTGAGCACACTATCTCGACAAGGCCATGTAAGTAAATTTTCCTTTTCCGATAAACAAGTGGGTGAAAACAATATTATTAGGACATAATAGGGTGAATGACTGAAAACAGCCTAATCTTCAAGACAGCAGAAGCAGTAACTGTCCAAAAGCTGTCAACTCTACTCTGTTCTGAAACACAGGAAACAGTGAACTCCTTTGCTGTTAAAGTTTTATGTGGTTCATACAACAGGAGTATGATAGGAATGCCTAAGATCGCAATCTTAACTAGTCATGTTTGTGTGTTTTGTATGTCTTGATAGTACAGTCCGAAATTGGCAGAATTTGTTTTTTTTAATGTAATCATGGATTTCGGCCCTACTGAAAGTGCTAAAAAAGAGAATGAATCATAGATGCTGATGGAGGAAACTTTTGCTTGGTCTTGCATTCAGTTCAGATTCTGCACGGCACTGCTGGAGTAGCAGTACTGAGACATAAAATGTGGCATGTGTGCATCACTTCCCTTTGTGCTTTGACTCTGACGACTAACCACCATTATATTCAACAATTTGCACTCACCATTTTCAAGGCAGTTAAGTATTACAAACTATATTGCTTGGAGACCTTTCTTTTCATTTTTTTCAAGGCACTTGCATACGCATCCTTATCCCTACGTATATTTGTGGCGGCTGGTCCACCTGCACTGCACTTGCATCGCTCTCATTAGAATTGTCCACTTATGTGTGTCCTCATGAAGGTGGCAGCAACAACAGTAAAACTCTGAGGAATGGCCGTGGGAGCATCAGCAAGAAAAGCGGACAAGCAGTAGTACAGGGGCGACACGGAGCAAACTGCAGCTGCTTAGCTTGGGCTTCATCTCTCCTTGGCCGGAACCTCTCTCTGCTGACCCTGCTTTCTTCATATTTCTCTGAAACTAGTGGTGGATCGATGTTAGCGGAGCACTCAAGGTTTTGGATTTTGAATCAAACACACTATCTGAACGAGTCTGTGTAGGTAAATTTTCTTTTCTGATAAACAAGTGGGTGAAAACAATATTATTAGGGCATAGTAGAGGTTAATTACTGAAATCAGCCTAATGTTCAAGACATCAGAAGCGGTAACTGTCAAAACGCTGTCAGCTAAAAATCTGCTCTGATTCATCCGTTTCTCTTGGCCCATGACTGTTCGTCGCTATTTGCTAGAAAGTGGTAGATTCATCCGTTGTGAAAATCATTGAGCTGGATGACTAGACACTTGTCTACTATGGGCATATTTTGCCCATTTTTCTACTAGGTCGGAACTTGTTGGCTATGAAACCCTATAACTTTGCAAATTGAGCAGTTTTTCCTATGGTCACATCATAAGATTTCTTTGCAATTTAGAACTCCTGTGTTTGTACTGAGACTAAAACCAGTGCTTACAATGTGAACTGGAATTTTCCTTTCCACTAGGTTGGTGCTGAACTACATTTTCTGTGTCCACTTGCCTTGTATCCTGCTGACATTCACTGTTACGTTTGCATGCTTAATGATTTAATTGTACCCATTTTTTTTTTGTAAAACCTCTTAAAGATGGATTCATGTTCTTTTGTTTAACTTTGATTTTCATTTCTTTGCCAACTGTTGGAATAGAATGCCTTATTCTTGTTTGCCTAATGCTCCATAGAAGGGACAAGAAATTACTTTTTCTATAGTTCTTTTTCATTATGTGTTCATTTGGAATAATTTTGGGCTTTATATTTTTGCTTCAGGAACATTTTGGTAATTCTGCATCTTTATCTGTTGGACCACCTGGCCTCCTGTTTAATTAATGGTAAATGAGACTTGGATGAACGGCAGTTTGGACCGAGCAGAGTTAGTGGTGGCGGTATGGCAAACTACTCTGCATTTGACATGGGTTCACTTTGGATAGATATGGTATGGATCCAGACAATGCTGAATATCACAGAAATATCCAGAATCGCTTCATGCCAAACATAGAAAAGACTAGTGCTTGTGGCAGTAGAGATCTTAATGCTTCCTACATGTCTGATTCTGATCTTTCAGATGCTTTATCTGGGTTGAGGCTGTAATTGTCCAGTAATGGATCAAAGGGCTTAATGCTTCCTACATGTCTGATTCTGATCTTTCAGATGCTTTATCTGGGTTGAGGCTGTAATAGTCCAGTAATGGATCAAAGGAATCATGGGGAAGAGCTACCAGATGAGCTACTCAAGCGTCAAAGAGATTTCTCCAAAGGAATCATGCAATGATCTGGATCTCATTTTTATCTAAACTCGAGGAATCATGGTGATCGGCAATCACGACTCTTCTCCCTCGATAGAAAGGCAACGGGTAGCTACTAGAAAGACATTTGTTTTGTGGATATCTATCATTTCGGTCCCCTTTGCTCTTTTTTTTTTGAATTTCTATCCACTGTGATCTGGTAGCTAGTATGTAAATTTGTTGAGTGTCTATTCAGTTCCTCGCGTGCTGTAAAATTTTGCCCGTGCTGTATGGTATGATTTGAATGATGAATGAAATTCTGTAGAGAAAGAGAAACGTTCTCTAGTTGGGGAATTTTGTATGTGCAACTCATATCTTTTCCCCATTTGATTATTTTTCCCCTTTGATTTGATTTGTTTGATTGTTTTTTTATGAGAAAATAGATCAACCTTTTTAAACTTCATGGGCTGTAAAATGTTCCGAAAGGAAAAATCTTCCTGGGCCGGAATGCTTTTGAGACCAGTGTCCACACCACACGGGAAACCCTACCTGAGGGAATAAAAGAGGCCGCCGCCCGCCAATACCCGCGCGCTCCGACGGCGACGGTCCGAGTCCGGCCACCGCCCTTCCACCTCCGCCTACGACCTCCCCCTCCCCTCTCCCTCGCAGTCGCAAATTTGGCCGGCCACCAGCCCTGATACATACACCTCATTGATGGGACGCAAAATCAAGAGGAACGCCGGACCCAAGAAGGCCAAGGTACCGTAAACCAGATGCTATATGTTCCTCGAGCTCTGATCGATGTGCTCTTCTTCGTTGTGTCCAGTATGTTTTGTGCTCCAGTTTCCACCTAATTCTGCTCTGTTTCCGGGCTGAGGAAAGCTCCAGTTTCCTCGTCATCGTCTAATCCTGCGGTCGCCTCTGGTCCGGCTAAGGCGAGGGAGAAATCACTGACCTTTTTTTTCCTTAATCCTTCACGTCACGCATCTGAACTACTGGTGTTTTCTTATAAAGTTACGCCTAATTGAATTGCCTTTTCTGCTTAAAAAATTCTCTCTAATTTGTTCCTTTTTCCAATTTGTTAGTTACCTCTTTAGTGCTTCGTTTCAGGTCTGGCAACCGGGTGTCGATGCACTGGAAGATGGAGAGGAGCTCCACTTTGATCCTGAGGCTTACAATTATATCCGAGGGTTCGGCATTGGCTGGTCTTGCTTGAGGTAAAATTTGTCTGCGCAATTCATTACCTCTGTATCCTTAACTTCAGGCCAATACATTGTCCATTCTCAATGAATAACTTTCCGTCACAGTTTTGATGTTGTGCGCGATCAACTTGGACTTGTCCGATCAGAGTTTCCCCACACATTCTATGGTGTTGCAGGAACGCAGGTTGCAATACTCTTCACACCTTCAAAAACAGGAGTATTAATTTTAGTTTCTGAATTACAGGAACATTGATTTGTTTGTTTTCAATTGAAAACGTGTGCCGTTGCTGATTCTATTCTCAGAAAAACCGTACCAGAAACTTATAGTGATTGATTGCTTGCACTTATATATTGATTGTTGCTAGAAGTTGTGATGGATTGTCATTGAGCAAATTTGGATGGTTAAAATAGTAAGATAATAAATTCAACACTTTCTTGAATGGATTGAGCTTATGTTGGACATTTCAGCTTAAATAATGGCATACGACTGGTGGACTTATAAATAATCATTTCATGATAATAACTTCTTATTCCATGATTGAGGTAAACTCTTTCTTACTGATGGAGCTTACGCTTGACAGGCTGACAAGGCTTCAAGTAATTATATTGGCATTTTCAAGCTTTCCAACATAAGCGGGAAGAAACGGGAACCTGCACCATCTTCAGCCATTGATGGTGACGCTGATGTGGATAGTGAGAGCAGCAGCGATGAAGAAGATGAAGAAACTAATGAGGATACAAGGCCCATCCTACATGTATGTTCTTTTTAAATCAAGATAGTAACTCTAGGCTTTGCTACAAAAAAAAAGCAATTATCCAGCATTCTATGTTTATATGTAGCTCACTAGCTTGTGGTTTGTTCTGTTGCTCTATTTGAATGTACCAGCTAAAAAAGGTGGCTCATGCGGGTTGTGTAAATCGGATACGCTCAATGACTCAAAAACCACATATATGTGCTACGTGGGGAGCTACTGGTCATGTTCAGGTAATTCAGTTCATACCTCACATCACTTTTCATCTGCTGTGATCGTTGCCTTCCTAAACCTGTACAGCAATTTTCTTTTATATTCGCCTAGTAACATAATGGATACTATATGTGTTATATTTCTTTTTGAATACATATGTCTAGAAACAGAGTGCACCATGCTGACTAGTTCTTTGTGAATTGCTAAACCGTTCCTGGTTGATAAATATGCAGGTGTGGGACTTGAGCTCCGTCCTTAATTCTTTAGCAGAGTCAGCGACACCTGCACCCAAAGAAGATGACATAATCCACAGACAGACACCTATGAAAGTATTTAGTGGCCATAAAGCTGAGGGATATGCAATCGATTGGAGTCCACTTGTTACCGGAAGGCTTGTTTCTGGTGTGTATATGATCTTGCACATTTCACAATATTTGTCGTCTGCTGTGATGTTTAAAATGTTTCCATAGCTGAGAACTTAATACGTCATGTCTTCCCCTCTTCCGTGCTCATAAATCATTGGTACCATTTAATTTGGCGTGTACACATTTTCATAGATTAAATTAATTCATTTTCTATGCAGGTGACTGCAATAAGAGCATTCACCTGTGGGAGCCGACTCCATCTAGCTGGAACATAGATGCGAATCCATTTGTTGGACACTCAGCCAGTGTTGAAGATTTACAGGCATGTCTGAATGCTGTATCATATATCTATTCACATGTTTCTTTCTTTGAATGTGATTGGCTGAACTATTACATCTATATCTTTGCAGTGGAGTCCCACGGAAGCCAACGTATTTGCCTCTTGTTCCGTTGATGGAACGATATCAATATGGGATGTACGTACAGGGAAGGAACCTCGTATATCTATCAAGGCTCATAAAGCTGATGTGAATGTTATCTCATGGAATAGGTATATCAAGTCGAAAAATCTATTGATTTTGTGAGTACTATAACTTAGTGGTGCATAATGTTTTACTCACTGTTTTGACTCGCAAGTCAGGCTTGCTAGCCGCATGATAGCGTCAGGGTGTGATGATGGCAGTTTCTCAGTTCGTGATCTTAGATTAATTCAGGTATTTTCCTTCTTGATAAACCACAACTTTTTGTGCTTGTGAGTGTCAGATGTAGCCAACAATGTCATTTTTTGTTGTTTCTATAATTTGTTTTAAGTTGGGCTTCTGTTTGCCTCTGTGTAATATGCGGTAACAAAATTACACACGACTTGGTGTTCTGAAGATATTAGAAAGTTTTTAAAGCGACTCATGGATAAAGAAAAATAGATGAGCTATGATTTTGCCACGAGATTTTCTTTAAGTTAGGTATCCTACACTAAATATGTTCTATTACTGCTAGTATGTGTGTGTCACTGTGCGCAAATTGGTGCAGCTGACAAACTACCATGGCTGTACCATATTGCCCAATTTATCTTCTGCTGATAGTAATTTTGGTTTCGTACCTTTTCAAGTATTGCTTAATAGTTGTGAATCTTTTTCCCCTGTGCCCTTTTATCGTACTGGTAGGAGGGCTCGTTGGTTGCACATTTTGAGTACCACAAGAAAGCAATTACATCAATCTAGTGGAGTCCACATGAAGCTTCATCATTAGCTGTAATTTCTGAAGATCATCAACTAACGTAACTTTCCATCCTTTTCCTTGTCATTCATGTTTTAGATGCACTAGATTACTTGATTTTTTTGCCTAGTATTTGCTGGTGCAAGTGGTAGAGTCTTACCGCCTGTGACTGGAAGGTCCCGGGTTCGAGTCACGGTCTCCTCGCATTGCACAGGCGAGGGTAAGGCTTGCCACTAACACCCTTCCCCAGACCCCGCACAGAACGGGAGCTCTCTGCACTGGGTACGCTCTTTTTTTATTTGCTGACACATCTCCTGAATTGTTTGGGTTTTAGAATTTGGGACCTTTCATTGGAAAGAGATGCAGAAGAGGAGGCTGAGTTCAGAGCAAAGATGAAAGAGCAGGCAAATACACCAGAAGATTTGCCCCCACAACTTCTATTTGTTCATCAGGTAGTACAAGTAAATTATCCGCTCATTTTATTATGATGGCATTGGACGTTACTTACTTTTGGCTCCCATCTTTTGTGGGCATATGATTTGCCTTATTCGTTTTTTTTTTGTTACATGTGAAAAGGCGAACTTATGGCATCTGTTTGTATGAGCAGGGCCAGAGAGATTTGAAAGAACTGCACTGGCATCCACAGATACCCTCGATGATCATATCGACGGCAATTGATGGCTTCAATGTCTTGATGCCTAGCAACATTGATACAACCATTCCTGGCAACACTGATACAACCATGGCATCTTCTGAGCCATAGGTGCTTTTGGTAGCAATTTTCAACTTACAAGTCCTGGCATCTAGGTTTACACTTGCAGTAGTGTGTATATTGCGTCCCAGTTTAGCTTGAGTGCAATGTTGACGTGTTCGGGCATGATGAGAAATCTTGATTGTCTGAGATTCTATGCTACATGTATATATAGATGATAAGATGTAATAGGCACATGCTTTTGATAGTATCTTGGATGGCAGTCCTCTGTCGAGCGCCCTATGTTTCTTCCCCTGATAATTCAGGTGGATGTTGGCCCAGCATATATCACCTGATGTTGTGGTGTTGCTTCAAGCTAGCAGTTGCTGCAGGTTTTGGCTCACTGGTAGGCAATAGGCATAGACGGGAAGGACGACAACAGCCTGGCCGGCGGTCCGATGCTGGCTTTGTTCGTTTTGGAAAATTTGGCAGCCGTCCATTTGTAAATGCTGCTGAGTATGTGCTCACTTTGTAGAATAGAAAATTAAATATATCAGGTAGGCAAATATGCTTTCTATTAAATAATGAATATACATAGCATAAGAGAGAGATTGAAAACAGGCTTAAGAATAGTTTGGTCTGCGGTCAATAAAAAAAAACGTGCTCGAAAAGAAAGGTTGAGAACATTTGTTGTGAGATTTTGCATAAAGTAGCGCGTATCTGTGACAAGCAGTTAGAAATGATCAGTTGGTCCTCCCTGAAGCGTTGATCAGCTCTATTTAGTCTTCTAGACTTCCAAACTGATGGCAAAAAAAAAAAAAAAAAAAGGAATGCTTTTGTTTTACTATACCAAACTCTAAAGAAAGGATCAAAGGAATACGTACTGTGTGACAAAAAAAAAACGCCTATGTTTTACTATTTGCGTGCGTTAACTGAAGAACACTTATCTTTTTATATAATTTTATTAGGATGCAACTTTAACCACTACTTTCTAATGAAATGCATTTATAATCTCATGCATTTATGGTATTATTAAGTTTCCAAACTAAACATTTTATAGAAGTTACTACATTAATACACTTATTATAAAATACCATATGAAATCGTAAGATAACACAATTGTTGTGTACAATACAGTATAGAACTCATCATACTAAAAATATACAACATCATAAAAGTACTAATGTTTCTGAACTCATATAGTTACCCAGAAGGTCAGAATCAAAGTTCCAAAAGGTTTTTCTGGTAATAATAAAACAAAACACACAAAAAAAGGTTTGTTATTTGTGAGCACTGAGCTGGTATATAATTCGTCCAGACTCCTTATTTTAGCCAACGCAAGAGCGCGAACAACAGAGGAACAAAGAGAGGGGAATTTCACCTTGTCCCTTCCTCGATCAATCGAAACAAATTTGCCTCCGTCCGTACAACAGTTGCCTGTGAATCTGTGACTGAGTACGAACAATGCGTCGTCCATCGATCATGAGGCGTCTCCAACGGAACTAAAGAGATCGATCGATCGAGCAGCGGTGGATTGAAGAATCGAGAGGGAGGAGGGAGGGAGGGAGGATGGACGAGGTGGAGCAGCAGCTGACCAAGAAACAGATCGAGGAGTTCCGGGAGGCGTTCAGCCTCTTCGACAAAGATGGCGACGGTACGGCAAGCCGGCCGGTCGGCCATTTCCTCTTCTTCTAATCTTTGCATCGCATTATTCGTTCTTGGTTGCATTGCGTTCTTGGTCGATGGATTGCAATTGCAACAGCATTTGACAGTGGAGGGCGGCACGAATGAATGAAACCAGGGACGATCACGACCAAGGAGCTGGGCACGGTGATGCGGTCGCTGGGGCAGAGCCCGACGGAGGAGGAGCTGCAGGGGATGGTGGACGAGGTGGACGCGGACGGCAGCGGCGCCATCGACTTCCAGGAGTTCCTCACCCTGTTGGCGCGCCAGATGCGGGAGGCCAACGGCGCCGACGAGGACGAGCTCCGGGAGGCCTTCCGCGTCTTCGACCAGGACCAGAACGGCTTCATCTCCCGCGACGAGCTCCGCCATGTCCTCCAGAACCTCGGCGAGAAACTCTCCGACGAGGAGCTCGCCGAGATGCTCCGCGAGGCCGACGCCGACGGCGATGGGCAGATCAACTACACCGAGTTCGCCAAGGTCATGCTCGCCAAGTGAGTCGCCGTCTGTCATCCACTCATCCTGATCAAAAAGAAGAAAAAGATCCTTTTTTTTCCTTTGCATCAGAATTGTTCATGCATGATTTGTACCTGGAGTCTGAAATGTAATGTTGGGTTCTTGTGCAGACGAAGGAACCAGGAGCTGGAAGACCATGGGAGTGAATCGTCTCACTCCAAGAGACTCTGCCCCTCCTGTACAATCCTCTGAAACTCAACTCACTCTGACACCTTAGTTTCTAGCTGTCAGGAGAAAGAAATGTAACTAACAGGAAGCAAAGCAAGAATCTGCATGATTCGCAGTGTAAATTGGAAAAAAACTACTGAAATGATGACCGAATACCAATATGAGTTCCCAATTCAATAGTCCATTTTTTTTCTTGAAAATGCAAGGCAGATTAAGCCCTTCTGTTCAGTGCTGAGAACTGGGGGCAAGATGGCAAGAACATTCTGGGCTTCATTTCGTAGATACTGATCATAGTATTTCCACATGACTCATAGGAATATACGGATATACAAAACTCACATACTCAAAACCTACTGAATGAACTTCCCTTCAAATACAGCAAGCAATTGAATCTCTCAAAATGCAGCATTTACAACAATGGCGGAGTACCAGCACCGTTTCCCAGGCCATCCACCATTACATGCAGAATACAGTGCACAGTACAGACTACGGAATCGGAATCTGCTTGGAAGGATGGTACACAAAATAGTTTGCCATTCTTCCTCTCTGAGGTTCTACTAAGCAGCATATTGCATTTGAACATCGTCGGATTTCCAGACGATGTCCTTTAAGGTCTTGGAAAGGTTCTTGTAGAACTGCAGAGAATTACAGCTTACACATTTAAGTACATACTGTTCAAACAAAAGATGCTAAAATAATAAACAAACTATGATTCAGCTTCTGAACTGTAGTACATGAATACATATGTTTCTTTATTGGCATGATCTTTGCATGACTCATAGTTACCTTATGAAATTCCAGTGTGTCACCTTTTGCTTTTCGGACTTCTACCATGTGAAGAGAGGGTGCAACTTGCAGTATCTGAATCAATATGAATAATAAATGTTAGGCAGAAGAAGTTTACAAAAAAGAAGATTGCAGTTAAGGAAAACAATTAAGCTTTACCTCAGTAGCAACATTGAGGTTTCCCTTCCTCCCTGCCTTTACCTTTTCGAGCCTCAACTGATCACACAATGAAAAAGAGAACTTTTAGCATGCAGAAAGATAAATTCAAAGTTTGTATTCGTTTCAAGAAGTCATGCCCTCAAGAAAATATTCAAATAATAAGTTATCAGAGTTACGTGTAGGTACCTTGTAATTTTTCTTCTGAACATCAAATCCTAGAGGTTTTGCAGCTTCCTCAATCTTGCGGACAATTTCTTTGGGTGGACATTTTGATGTAAACCTTGTTTCTCTTTTGAACTCCTGCAGATACAGTGACTAAAAATTAGAGTAGAGACTACATAATAGTAAGGTTGTAAAATCATGATGACCATGATGGGAAATCCTAAACTGAATTTTTTTTGTAAGTACTGTTGGAACTAACAGTTTGACCACATAGGCATAGAACTAGAATTAGCTTGCCACATCCTTTGTAATTGTGTAATTGGCTTTTACTGGCATAATTCAAAAGAAACCAAGTGCACAGCACACAGCAGACAATGTCCTTAGAAAATCATGATGATTTGCAATTTAGAAGTTCTATGTTACTACAAAGCACTCAAGAACATCTTCTTTACCTGCTCTGAGTCGAATAAGTTTCCAAGGTTTAGGCCTGCTGACATTGAAATCAGTTCAAATGCGTTCAGAGCTACTGGTTCTTCTTCTTTCTTTTCTGTCACATGGTGCTCCTGAATGATGGCAAATAACAATTGTAAAACTAGTTAGTAAGTAAAATCTGTGACGTTATGCATCAGAAGAAAAAAAAGCACCATTTACTCACTTCTGAATCATTGAAGACAGCATCCACATCATCCAATGTGGTGTCATATTGTTCATCAAACTCTGGGCGCTTGTAGCCCTTTTTGAACCACTCGTCCTCTAATATTTCTGGAATTGTTATTCTCTGCCATGGTTTACCAATGGAGTAAAGATAAAATTATGGAGGCTCATTCATTTTCAAACCAGACTCAGGCTCAGCACATTCTCAACCCATCCTCGACTGGAAGTTGCAAATTTGCAATTTTTTACTGGAACAAAGGGTTTCATTTTGTGATATGTGCATTGCCAAATTGCCTATACTTTTTCACCAATAGTTTTTCCCTCAACTGCATCTAACAGCGGCTGCATACTCATAAGTGAATTAGGAACTTCTAAAATTTGTGTTGATTTGAGTTACATTACAAATGCTGGATCGATGGAAATACCAATTAATTAAAGGATATTGGCAGCATCAGGTGATTTATGAGCCTACTGTGGGATACATTATATGGAGAATGCAGATCTGTTCTATTCCATTATCTTAGGATTGCTTCAATAGTATTTTTATTTTCAAGCAGCTTTTGTGCTCTGGCATACCGTCATTGGATTTGGATCAAGTATTCTTGTTAACAACCTCTTGGCAGGAAAAGATGTCCACGGTGGAAATGTAAATTCTGCATTTGATATCTGCCAGGAAAAGAAGGGTAAAGTCAAATAAGCATGAATAAGCAAGACTGCACCAGTGACCTAAAAGCCATGAAATTCTCACTTTCTTATACAAAGTCATGAGATTAGAGTCCTCAAATGGCAAATACCCTGCTAGCAGAACAAACAGGATAACTCCACATGACCACAGATCAGCCATTGCACCGTCATAGCCTTGATCTTCAAGGACCTATAACGAAGTTGATATAAACATTTAAATGATTATATTCCCAACAAACAGTAATTTCCATAATATGCAT